TATTGATCACATTTTAGTCCTAATTCAAGATTCAAGAGCCTAGTGTAGTGTTCGATTGAATTCTTCCATGGTATTCAATTTACCCATATCGAGTTCTCATTGAGCCTATTTAACTATTTCAATCCCCTATCTCTATGCAAGTCTACCTTAGTTAAACGAAATATTAGTTCTAAATATTCATGTATGATCGCAATATTCAGATAGATGTCTCTACACATTATACTAAATTATCGAATTTTACTATATGGTCTAAATATCAAACTCACCTCTTGATTCGTAAAAGATTTACAAAGTCATCAAATTAGTGATTAAGTAACTTAATGCATTAAACTCATAATAAAATCAACACATGAACGATAAAATATCAAAAATCTTGAATAAAAGACATAAATGTTTTCAAATCGATTACATTGTTCACCCTAATATAAAGTTTAGCTATTCATACTAAATGAAAAAGAAAAACTAAAAGTTGATAGTGAGTACATCACCGGATTTTGAATATAGATGTAGAAAAAGAAATAAAGCTTGCACTAAGATCTTCTTATTCTTCCAATCAATGTTTCAAAACTTGAATTCCTTGATGTTTTCCTCCCATGAATTGTGCACTTAATCTCTCGTTATATCTTTGTTTTCTCAATGTGTGGAACCCTTAAAATTTCCTCATTTCTTCTATTTATACTCCCCTACACAGTTTTCCAAAAATTGGAGTCTTTCTGGGCTTTTCGTTGCCCAAAACAACCACTTCTTTTCTCTAATTCTTCATCAAACATAAAATTTTACCTACAAAGGCGCAATATAACATAAATTAGATAGAAATTTATCGAAGTGACAATAAAATATTATCATTTAGGGTATTGAATAAGTGTAGAAACTACACTTATCACTTGGTCGTAATATTCAAAATGAATTGATACAAACATTGGCGGGCAAGGTAAAAAGTGCAACTGTCGCAAAAGTGAAACATGCAAAAAAAAATTTCATCATACCTGATTATACTCCAGTTACGAGTCATGAGAAGTAAATGTCCCTAATAATACAATGCATAGACGATTCAATAGACTTGCCGATAGTACAAAAATATTGGATTGAATTTTTAAAGGTGGATTATACATTAAGACTTGAACTTTTCGCTGAGCTTAAAAATGTGTTAAACAAATTTGAGCTTGATATTGAAAATATTAAACGTCAATGGTATGACAATAGAGCTAACATAAGCAGGAGACATGAAAGTGTTAAAATGAAGGTTACTTGAAATAAGTCCTAGAGTTTTCCATACTCGATATGGTTGTCATACCCTTAATCTAGTATTATGTGATATGGCAAATTGTTATTCTAAAGTTATGTCCTTTTTTGGTATGATACAACACATCTACACATTATTCTCTTCTTCTTTCAAGCGATGGAAATTTTTTAAAGATAAAGTTGAAGGTATGACACTTAAGCCATTGTCCCAAATACGTTGGAAAAGTCACGTGGAAAGTGTCAAAACTATAAAAGAGCAATTTGTACAAATAAGAGATGCTTTATTTGACTTGGCAATCATTGTTGAAGACCCTAAAACAAAAACTGGAGCCACGTCCTTAGCAATATATGAACTTGAAAATTTTGTGTTCTTGCTTGGTATGGTAATTTGGTATAAGTTGTTGCGTGCAATCAAAACTGTGAGTAATTTTTTTCAAGCCGAAAACATGGATATTGATGAAGTCATCAAGCTTTTACAAGCATTTATTTTGTTTCTCAAAGATTATAGAATTCGGGTTTACTAGTACCATGAATGAAGCTAAACAAATGGCAAGAGAAATGAGAATTATAGTTGTATTTTGAGAAAAATGTAACATTCAAAGAAAGAGCAGTTTGATGAAAGTGGCAACAAAGAGGTAACACAATCATCTTAAGAATCTTTTAGAGTTGATTATTTTTTCTTTATAATTGATCGAGCTCGATTTTCACTTCAAATTCGTTTTGAACAATTTAAACATTATGAAGAGACCTTTAGATTTTTGTTTAATTTGGACATGTTAAGAAGTAGGCATGTTGATAGTTTGTTGAAATTTTGTGAGAATCTTGAACAATATTTGAAACATAATTGA